AGGCAGTTATTCCTATGTGTGACGGGATCTAAATAAACTTGACACGGATGTCATCAGTTTGTTCTAGCCCCGGCTAGGGTGTGTTGGGCGGCAGGGGAGGAGGGGGAGGGTAATTTGAGCCTCGCTAGCGCAGAAGTGCTGTCACTGATTATAAGGAGGTTCCAGCGTTCAGTGCGAGCATAGGTCGCCCCCTCTTGAATGCTCGTGAGGATGGCTATGCTTTCAGTGTCAGTGGAGGAGGCCCAGTCGTGGACCCTGATTTTCCTGCGGGCCTGGCGCTCAGGAATCCACACAGCTGCCCCAGCGCTGCCCAGCGTGGTAACAGACCCATCACAGTAGACGAGGATAGGAGGGTGGGAGGTCGTAAGAGAGGAGGCGACATCATTAATCTGCTCAAGGCAGTTAAGTTTAAGCATATACCGCAGTTGGGTGGATTTACGACCAGGGAAGGTGTGGACGACAACATCAACACTCGGGGAAGTCCACGGCGGTAGAGGTGGATGAGTGTACTCGGGAGGGAGAGAGGTCGAGGGGGTGTAAAGGTGATAACGCAGGACGTCAGCAGAAGTGTGGAGGGGCCAGTGTTGAGAGGGGGAGGTAAAGGTAATCGGGACAGGCCAGCGCAGGAGGGTGTTAAGATGTGAGTTCAGTGAGCGCGACAGGGGAGTCGGTTGCTCACTGCGAAGAAGTTTAACACCAAGGATGGCATTGAGAGCAGTAATTCGATCGCAGACAGGGAGCAGGATCAGTTCACGCTGCATGACTTCTATTCTGGTGGTCATAGGGCAGCTGAAGATGAGTCTCATCGCTCTGTTTTGGATTTTCTCTATGCTTTGTTTCTCGCACTGGGAGGCAACTACAAGGACAGGAGAGGCAAAATCTATGACAGCTCTGACGATGGCAATGTACATTAGACGTAGGACCCTGACAGAGGCTCCTTTGAGGCCGTGGGTGAGGGACTGGAGGGGCCTCGTTTGTTGGTGGCACTGGCAGATGACGTGGGCGGCAACAGAGGAGGTGGTGGAGCTGGTAGTGGCTCGCACGGGCAGACCAAGGTACCTGTAGGTGCGTACTTGATCGATGTTTTGTCCTTGCGGGGTCAGCGGTGTCTGACGCTGGAAGTGTGAGGTGAGCTTGGTTTCAGTGTGTGAGATGACTAGCCCGAGTGTTTGACAGGTCCGGGCGAACGTGGAGAGTATAGGTTGTTCATGTGGCACTGTAGTAATTTGGAGGAGAATATCAGCGTAGCTTATGATGTGACCATCTAGGGAGCGCTCAGCAAAGATGTTGAGGCGGCAGATGGAGTTCATGAGAACATTAGAGAGTGTATGGCTGAGTACACCTCCCTGAGGCGTGCCAAGATCAAGGTCCCTGATCGAAGAGTAGTGGCCCTGAAAATGGACACGGGCCTGTTGATGGGAGAGGTAGTCAACAATCCACGTGAGGAGTTTGCCCTTCACATCAATGTGAGTGAGGCCCTCAAGGATTACTTCACTGTTGGCTTTATCAAAAGCACCCTTGAAGTCGACGAAGAGGGAGGTTTTGGCTGAGGTGTTTGCCATGTGGTGAGCGATGCAGTGAGCAGTGCTCTTTCCGGGGCAGAAACCATGGAGGTCAGAGTGCAGGTGGGCTTCAATTTTCCAGTCGAGGCGGTAGCGTATCATGCACTCCATCATCTTTGAGAAGAAGGAGATAAGGGAGATGGGACGATATTCATCTTGTCTGCCTGGTTTAGGTACTGAGATGGTGGTGGCATCTTCTATAAGTGAGGCAGCTGTCCAGTATCAAAAGAGAGGTTAAATAGACAAAGGAGGGGGTTACCAGGGGTAGCAATAAGGGCATTTAGCACATCATATGTAGGCATGTCAGTGTCTGCAGATAGGTTTTGGTACTCATAGATGTGCTGTCGGCGTTGTGGTTGCAGTGCGAGGGTGAGGTCTCATACAGCGGGTGGTAGCGCATCGATGGAGGCGGCCTCCTGTCACGTCTGAGAGAGCGCCTCGGCTCGGGCAGCTGGTCTGGGTTAGAGCGTGGGTCTGGCGTTGGTGCCCCGGGCACGGTTAATGGTACGCCATATATCACCTATAGATGTAGACTGGACAATAGAAGCAAAATCAAACCGCTGCTTCTCTCGTGCGAGAGTGATGGCAGATTGGAGCTCTTTATTTGTGCGCATCAGGAAGCATAAGAGCGTCAGGGGAGCTGGGAGATTTCTTCCACTGGTCGACTGCTAGTCGGTGCCATACTCGGATAGACTTAACATGAGGATCACGGTTAAAATTCCACTGACTCCTGGGCTGGCGGTTAGGGTGGTGGTGTTTTGGGTCAGGGCGGAGGAGGTCAGTGCATTGTTTGGACAGATCAAGGTAGAGTTGGTCTGTGGTGGTGACTGTGTAACCCTGAAACCATTCAGCAATGGTAGTGATGAAGACAAGCATGTTGGCAGGGGGTAGGCTGAGCCTAGGGACCTTGGGTGGGGCGGGTATTCTCACGTACTGGAGGGTAGTGTGGATAGGGAAATGGTCACTGTGGGGGGAGTGGAAGATGTGAGTGGAGTGTGGGCGGTGAGGGTCAGAGTAGAGGGCGATGTAGTCAAGTTTCCCTCCCCCGATGTGGGTGGGTGATGGAGGGCAGAAAAGACGTACAGGGTCATCAGTGGTTTGTAGGTAGGAGAGCCAGGAGTTACCCCAGGAGTTTGACTGGGGCCCCTGGGAGCCGAGACTGGGGTGTCAGGCATTGAGGTCCCCCACAAGGAGGGTGAGGGTGGAGGTGATATGGTGTGGTAGGACAGGTACAGTAGGGGTGGAGGGAGGCACATTGACAATATTGAGGGACATACCTTTTAGTGTGATTGTGATGGCGTGTGCGTCGGTGGTGTCGTCATCATGGGGGACGTCGAGAGGTTGGTCGGGGACATCCTTCTTGACGTAGATCCGCAGTCCACATGATTTTATCAAGATTTATCTTATCCACGTTTTCATTGTGGATCTACATGAAATTATATATATATATATATATATATATATATATATATATATATATATATATATATATATATATATATATATATATATATATATATATATATATATATATATATATATATATATGTATATACAGTATATAAATGGATCCCTTCCATTCCTTGATATGCTTATCATGAGAAATGGCCAAAACTACAAATTTAAGGTATACAGAAAGCCCACACAGGTAGACAGTTTCATACACTTTTTATCGAATCACCTGGAGTCTACCAAAATGTCAGTTTTTTCTGCTTTGTTCTTAAGATGTCTGCGTATTTGTGACTCTGAATTTATTGATGATGAATTGAAACACATTCATTCCATTGCACAAAAACTTGGGTACCCTTCTGTGTTTGTTGATCGTTGTTTTAAAAGGGCTAAAAAATCCTTTCATTCCTCTCAAACCAGGCAAATTCCTACACTTAAGAATATTTTGACTCTGCCCTATCGTAATGAATTTGTCCCGTTAGTTCGGTCCCTCAAGCTACTAAATATTAATGTTGTTTTCAAGTATGACTCAACCATTACCAATATGTTATTAAGAAATAGCCCAAGTTTGAATGTAAATGGAAGTGTTTATTGTATTCCATGTAGCAAATGTAATTGTAATTATGTAGGACAGACAGGAAAAACACTGCAGCTCAGAATCAAACAACATAAGTACAATATCAGAACAGCATCTGAAAGCAGTGCCCTGTTCGTTCATGTTAGGAATAATAATCATCCCATTGCTTGGGAAAAAAGCTTAGAAGTATTTAAATCATCTTGTGTCACAGAAAGACTTATGGTTGAAGCTAGTTTGATTAAGGAATTAAAATCAATAAACCTTAGTGATGGTCAGTTCAAAACTGATAATATGTTACATAAATTTATTTGTCAGTGGCCCAAGGTTAAAAATGCTTTGAAAACCTTTGATCTAGATGTATGATAGTTATTTAGTGGGTCCCTTATTTTGACCTGACCTGACTAGTCACG